ACAAAAAAAAAAAAAAAAAACAGATAGGAGTCAGGTGAGGAAAAAATACATTCCTCTAGCCCAAAGCAGTCCACGTATTAACACTTTTACACACCAGTGAAATCCCTATTCCTTTCTGTTTTTGTTATTCAGCGCACCTGCCCCATAGCTCAGGGGTCTATGATCCACTGCCTGCTGGCCAAACACTGGTGACCTATTTCCTCAAATGCAATTTTACTGGAAAACAGCCAGTTCGTTCATTAAAACGGACAGTTGCTTTCACACAACAGTTCTTTTCTTACTGTTGAATATGACAATGGGTTGGAACACACTGTATCTGTGTAACTTGTTTTGTGTAAGCCTAAGAGACAAGGACGCCTTCCTTATATGAACTGGGATAGAGAGAATGAGAGGAAAAGGAAAACTATGTTGAAATCACTCAAAGCCCAGTTTCTGTTGAAGAGCAAGACACTTGTTAAAGTGTCTAAGGAACATGTAACAGGAGACAAACATTTACCACTCTCAATTTAGTGCTAGAAACCAACACTTGGTATAGAACCTTTCAAATATATAAAAGATAGGATAGGAAAAAGGATCTTATCTTTCTTTGCAGGAAACCAATCTTCCTGGCTGACTTTCCCAAAATAAGCACATACCTTATTTATGTATTTGACGGTAATGGGTACTGAATCCACGACATTCGCAGAAACACACCCCACCTAAGGCTCCCAGAGTGCTGGGATTACAGGTGTGTGCCACCACAGCCAGATTAATCCTACTACTCTGACTTCTCCCTTTCCTCTTCCTTCTTGAACTCATTTTAAGCCCCTCACCTCTGTCCCCTAGAAAATGCAATGAAAACAGCATATAATTTTCAGACCTGGGGGGGGAATTACATAGAGTATTTCCACCCCTCACTCCTGCAAGCAACTTCACCATCAGTGCGGGAAACCCAACCATGGGTGCGAATCACTACTCTGTGACTGCCTCAACTCCAGGGACTTCTGCCTTCTGTGTATTTTAGACCTCTGTACCTAAGATCTTTGGTGGTAACAGCACCCAGGCTGTGAGGCAAATGACACTAAAATACAGAGAAGACACTTTTTATCTCCCAACAGGACTGTGAGTGGCCTAAATCTTCTAGCAAAACACATGCTACATAACAGACACGTAATAAAATGTCCAACTGAAGCCAGATACTAAAGTAATACACCTCCATGTTACCTTACCATTGTGATGTACTAGAGCCCCATGTTCTACCTTCTTTTTCATGTCATATATGTGAATTGTTTCATCTTTGCTCCCAGTGACTACAAAACGACTGTTCACAGCTACTGCTGACAAGGAGGCAGTGTGGGCATGGTGAGTGAAATCGGCCACTGAAGTCCATTTCTGCTGAAGAATACAACATATGATTGTCATGTCACAGTTGTCTAGCAACACAGTTCTACAACTCATAAAAACTACAAATGGAAAATAAAACTATGCAATGATATGTAGATTAAAGCAAAGAACCTGAAAATTGAATAATAAATGCAAGGAAGTGGGAAAGCAATGCTAAGGTCGGGGTTTTAGCCCAGTGGTTCCAGCACCTGCCTCACAACCACAACCGTAAGGACCTGAGTTCACTCCCTGGCGCACGCGCGCGCGCACACACACACACACACACACACACACACACATACACATACACACACAAATTACAGCACAATGCTAGGTATCACGATTCTAGAACCCAGTAACGGAGATGGGACTAGGCACTAAAGTATCACCCAACTCTAATATATTTACTTGTACGTGAGACTTCCACGTCACTCATTTATTCAACTGTGCAAACTTTTACTTGAACTTTTTTATTGAAAAAATTACTGTCAGAGCTGGGCATAGTGGTGCACACTTGTAATCCCAGTGCTCAGAAGGCTGAAGTAGGAGGACTGCTTCCAGTTTGAGGTCAGTCTGGAACATATAATGAGTGCAAGGTCACAAGACCCTGTCTCAAAAAAACAAATAAGACTGGCTACCAGTGCTTGGCACTACTTTAGGCAGCTGATATATAGCGGTTGTGAATGGCTTGTATCTAGATGTCCCCCCAAAGTCTCATGCAGTCATAGGCAGAGCTTTTTCAGAGGTGGCTGGATCTAGAGTGTATGATGCTGGGATTGATTCATGATGCAACATGAAGAGCAAGGGCACTAGGATTAAGGGCACTAGTGCTACCCACCCTAAGTAGCCTGGATAAGATAGACAGATAGAATTGAGCTATGATTGTCCCCTGCTTTCTTGTTGCTGTCTTCTGCTTGTCATGAACTGGTTTTCCTCTGTGATGCCCCTATGGTAAGCCACCCTGCAGTGAAGTCAGCCAATTACGGACCGAAACTTCTATAAACTGTGAGCTAAACAAATCTTTCCCCTTTTAACATTAGGTGTCAGGTATTTTGTCTCAGCAATGACTAAAATGTGTAAGGCAGCAGTGAACAAAAAAGCCCTATTCTAATGGAGCTTCAATGGGGGCGACATAAAACAAATTAATATGATGGTACATAGAGATTAGTATGACAAATCCTATAAAGAAAAACAGAATGTGGATGTTTCCATTATTAACCAACATAAGTCACAGAGAATCAATTATCCTAACAATCATATAATGTATACAAGTACTAAAATATCATAGCATACTCCAGAAATATGTACAATTATTATTTGTCAAAAACAAAGTCACAAAAATGTCCTTGTGGCATGAAGGAAGCTGGCATTTCTGGGCATGGAAAAATGAACTACAGATACAAGTTGACAGCCAATGTGGGTAGTCAGGATCTAATGAAAAAACAGCCTGCTCTTTCATTGAATTTCTGTCTGGTATTTTACAAAATGTTAGGGCTTTGATCAGCATCAACCCCTCTTAGGCAAAGAAAGTGACATACATTCATTATTTACTGGGAATTTAACACTGGTAGGCAAGGAGGGTAAAAGTCCCCAGAGGCATGGATCCTGCTGTACAGACCGTAACATAAGGGATGTTGTAGGAGAGGCACATAACATGGAGAAAAATTATAGAACACTGTAAGTACTTCACTAGATGGGAGAATAAAAAAGTCGACTGCCAACACAATAATAAAAATAATTGATCTCTTGACTTCTAGACCAGAACTACTTCATTCCTGAAGCAACTGGAGGTACTGTATCTCCTAGAAAGCTACTTCATTACTTATTTAATATGTTGTCTTTATTGTAAAACTACTAAGTTCTACATAAACAGTAATTTTCATAGCGAGCTTCTGTGAGGTAGACACAGTTATTCTCATGCTATAAATGAGCAAAGAAAAAATGCCCACGGGGAAACCAAAAAAGCTGATCACCCAAAGGTAGAGAGCAGAATAGTGGGCACTAAAAGCTGTGGAGATGGACAGAGGAAGGTTAACGGGTACCGGTGTGCAGCTGGACAGGAGGAACGACTTTCAAAGTTTTATAGTATTAAGAAGGTACGTGGTTGACAACAATTAGTTGTACATTTCAAATTAGACAGTCAAGAGAATTTTGAATGTTTCTAACACAAAGACGACAAATGTTTTAGGCGATGGATATAACAACTGTTAACTGTAACAAGCAGATATTATGTTGCATTTTGCAAAATGCCTATTTCGTGTTTCAATGTGTGTTTTTTACTTAAGGCCCGAGAATGAGTAACCCTCAGTTCATCAAATAACCCTCGGTCGGCTGAGTAGCAGGGGCCGGAATGTTTGCCTCGGCCGTGTGGACACCAAACGCCGTCCCGCCCCTCTCCGGTAACCCCTCCGCTCGCCCTATCTCACCTCGTGGTCGCCATTCGCCTTGGGGCCCGGGTGTACAGTGAACCCAAAAAGGACCTGCTCGTAGCTACCAGCCACCAACTCCATTGGGCATGACACGTGCCTCTCCCGGGACGCCGCCGCGCTCAGGGGGTGACAACCGGAAGCAAAAGGAAGGGCGGGGACCTTGCTGCACCGGCGCTCAAATTGTACGTCACCGTGCGGGAGAAATCTGCCTGTTTCCTAGGAAACGGTTTCAGCGCCGTAAACTTTCCAGGCAGAGAACAAGAAAGGATACAGGAAGAGGAGTTTCTCCTTACAATGACAAAAAAAATGGGAGTAAGCAGGCAAATTGTAGGAAGCCATGAGCAGGGCTGGGATGGGGATGGTGGGCGGGACTTCCTGTGCACAAGGCCCTCATTTCCGGAACGTCACGGAAGGGGCGGAATCAGGTTCCGGTCTGGTGGGCTGGGGTTCCTGGCAGTGCGTTAAGGTTAGTATAGAGGGCACTGAAAAAGAGTAAAGTTCTCTTTGTGCTTGAAGCCATACAAGGAGCGCTTATTTAGCTACGGAGGAAAATGTGGAACTTAGAGTTCGTGGTGTCAATGTCGGATTTGCGGCCACAGGCACACATATGCGAAACTGAAATCGTGACCGTAGAAGTTCAGCTTCCTGTGGCCTAGAGCTTTCTGCGGTGCACACTTTGCCTTCCAGCCTGGTTCGCGAGGCTTCCCTGGGGTCACATCGGCCTAGGATATGGCTCATCTGACCTTACGGGTGTGTGTAAGGAGCGGACTGATTTATGGGAGGAAACAGGCGACCGTGGTGAGCGATCAAAAAGAAAGTCTCGTGTTTAGACCTGTTTCGCCTCTTCATCCTAACCCCGTCTAGGGGATTTTAAAAAAGCAAACAGCCTTTTAGGTTCGAGATTGTATTAAGGTCAGAGGTGTTGGAGTGTGTTAGAAACCACAACTTTCTTACAAACTCAATGCAGTAATTTTAGTTTGACTAACATAAACGCTGTAACAGGTCTCTTGTAGACAGCTAAGTTAGATGCTTTATAGCCAGGTAGGGGCGGGAGAGGGAGTCAGTACAGACTATTGAGCTCACGCGCTGCCTGACCAGAGCAAGGTCCCGAGTTCGATCCCTGGTCCCAGAACAACAAAAGACAAATTGAGGCACATTTACTAAGGCCAGGATTCAGAAAAGAGGAACTACTACACTCACTTTCCCTGGGGATGAACCGCAGCAAGTGATATTGTAAATAGGTATCCATCACCTGGGTGGGAGACCAAATTCTCCCTAGCTCAATTCTTCCAGGAAGATCCTTGTTCATTTCACATAAGCCTGCTACCTGACTAGCTTTCCCATTTGATCCCCATTTAATCAATATTGTTACCTGAGCTACTGTACTTGTAGTCTTATTGGTCGACCATAGTTTTGTACCACCTCATACCCACCTTGTGATTTTCCATTGGGTCTTATTAGTTGGCTGTAGTTTTGTCCCACTTTGTACCCGCCTCACCTTAGAGGCTTTGCTCCCTAAAAGTCCCTTGAGAAGCAGGGTGCCAGGCAACCCACTTTCTGGGTGTCCCCTCCCGTCCTCAGGCAGGAGCTGTGTCCCCTCCATAAATATTTCCTACTCTTAACCTTCATAGTTCCCAGGATTCATTCTTTGATTTTAGAGGACATGAACTTGGCGTTTTGGACATCTAGCGGGTTGGGAGTTACAATATTTCCTTTGCGTTATTTGGATTATTTTCAGGTTCTACGTCATCCATAGATGATATACCCTGTATCAGGTTGACTTCATAAGTAGTGTTTAGTGCATAGATCCATGGCAAGTCTTAAATTCCCTGTTTGAACTGTAATAAAATCCTCCCATGCGTAATCCCTCTCCTCTGGTGTTCTGGGTTGTCTTACCTATTGAATTCAGGGCATGTTTTAGTTTATGTATGTTCACATTTGGAGAAACAATTTTACTTTTTGATGCTTTGTCATTGTTACCTAGGGAATAGAAACCGTTGTGTAGGCACCATATATGTAACTCAAGGTGATTTTTACTTTAAAAAAATTAGAGATTGGTGGAAGCAATCACAGAGCTCAGAAGACCTAGCATCTAGGCAAATGGTGACTCGTGGGTAAGTTCCAGGGGTTCTGAATCCCCAGAAGTTATTTGCAAAATTGTGGATGTAAATTTTTAGAAAAAAAGCATTAAGTTTTCAAAGCAAGTAATGCCACATTGAGGGTAAAATCCCTATTTCAGTCTTAACTACAGGTTATATAAGTGCTGAGCTATGTCCAGAAAAATGACTGTTTCAATGCCACACAGGTAAGTAACAGTACTGCTGCTACTTTAATGTTTCCTTGGCCTTGAACATTCTTTTTTCACAGAGAACAAAGTAGCAGCATGTCATCTAAAGCCATGGCTGTATTTTCATAACTTGCTTAGATTGTAAGAATTCATTGGGTGAAAACACAAAATGCAAAATTATACACCTGTTCAATGGGATCAGAACGGAGCATACTCCCTGTAAAACCTCCTGTTCTGTCTGAATACAGGATGTAAAAAGCCATCTCATTATCAAAACTGCAGTTGCCAAGAAACAACCAACAATTGAGAGTTAAATAATAAACACTGGGGCACAAGAGGATTTTTTAGTTTTGCTTTGAAATTATTGATTAATTTATGCACTTGAGCCATGCATTGATTCATTTAGTCATTCAACAGATACTTGTTGAATGCCTGGATTTGGTTCACCTGAGAAGAAATAGTCAGCTTTCCCTTTTGGGTTTTGGTGGTCAGGGGGAGATCCTGAGTTAGGAGCAGGATAGTGTAGAGAAAGGTCAGCCCTGCTACAAATAAATACCACAACACTAAAATTCCTGCAACAGTGACCCTCAATTCTTAATGTGAAAAGTTGCAACTCTTAAATTCTGCTGCACTGCATGTGGTTGTAGTCCCAGAGGACTTTCCTCCCTTCTGTATTTCAGAGATAAGCAAAGCAAAGATAGAGCTTCTCGCCCCCTGGACACTTAGTCTTTGCCCCAATAGAATGTGCTCCCCTTGCTTCATAGGAGTAATCCAGGTGATACAAGAACGGGTTTAGGAGCGCAGTAGTGTGAACTCTTTGTCACTGACAGCTTTAAGGTCCCACTGTTCCACAGCTCCACCTCTTTAACAGTGTTCGGCTTCCACATCCCTTTCTAACTACAGCTTCAGCTTTCACCCATTTGTAGCCATAGGTCTGATTTTCTTTCTGCAAAATCAGGCTTAAAATTGATGCAGGGGAGAATACAACTCCCAACCAGCCAATAGGCCAAGCTCATGTCCCCTGAAATCAAAGAATGAATTCCAAAGGACAAAAGAGGTTAAGAGTAAGAAAGATTTATTGGGGAATAAAAATAGCTCCTGAGAAACAGTAGGGGTCCCGGAAGTGGGTTGCCACCAACGCCCTTTGTGAAGGGTAATTTATACAACAAAGTCACGATGTGGGTCAAGCTACAGTCGTCCTATAGGACTAAAGTAAAGCAGCTTAGCTAATTTGGTCTAGTAGGGAAGCGAGTCACACAACATGAGTGTATAGAAAGAACCAAAGGCATCTTGGGAAAGCAATGGCTCTGGATGCTCTGGTCACCACCTGGGCGACTGATGCCCACCTGGACTTCCTGGACAAAGTGATGACATTACAGTATAGTTCTGGAGTAGTACTTATCCCTTAGGGAGCCGTGTAGGCCCCGCCATTGCATCTTTATCTTGAGGCCTGGTCTTCAGATGTGCCTCCAGCCACAATTCTGATGTCTTCATTTATTTATTTTTTGCTGACTTCCTTGAGAGCTCAGTCCCTCTCTGACTGTATATTAATTTCTTTCTGACTTCACTGCTATAGTAAAATGATAAGGAAAAACACTAAAGAAAGGATCCTTAACCAATACATTTTATTGGATGATGTCTGAGCTGCTATAGTAGTTCAGAATTGTTTAACTTGATATAATAAAACAGTAGTGGCCTGGGTGTGTTGGCACATGGCTATAATACCAGCACTTGTGAGACTGAGGCAGGAGGATTGATGTAAGCCTGAGGCCAGCCTGGGCTACACAGTGCGACTCTGTCTTAAAAACTCAAAAGAAAAAATAACCCAGTGACTTAAACAAAACATTAAGTAAAAGAAACTGGGAAGTAGGACAGTGTAGGGCTGGTGGAGTAAGTATACAGTAGTCAGGGATCTATGCTTGTCCAGATTGACAGAAGACTTTCCTGGGGTCTCCTCAAAGCACAGTAGGAAGGAGGGCTTAGGCCCACACCGCTGGTATGGTGATGGACGGTCGGGTCTTGTGGTGGAGCAGTCAGGCTCCATGCCCAACACAACCTGGCCAAATAGGAACACAGCCAGGTGTAGTAGGTGTCACTGGATGGGAAATGACTAAGGGAAAACATCCGTGGGAAGGGGGATTCTGGCTACACCAACCCAACGGGATTCTTGCTGAAGATCGCAGAAGCCCAGCTGGGATGATCAGACAGCAGGTGAGCATGGAGGGTGAGAAACTGTCCGATAGAGTCAGGTACCCAGGGAAAGGGGTTCTGGCCAAACTGACTGAGCAGAGTTCTTTGGCTACAAGTGGATTTTGTAAACAAAAGAACACAGGTGGGCCTGAGAAGAGGTTCCGCATCAGGAGGATCTTGGCCAAGCTGAGTGTCAGGGCTGGGTGTACTTGTGCATGACTCCCCATTTGATGTCCCCCTCCTCGTGCAAGACAGCTGCAGTTGTTTTATCTCGGGGTATCGCAGCTGTAGTCCCTGCAGCAGGTATAGGGAAAGGTGGGGGACAAAAGACCTCCATTGAGCAAAGGCCCTTTGTCCACATAGCTTTTCCCAGTCCCTTTCTAAAGGCTTCATTTATAGCTTAGCCAGGCCAGCCATCTGACCGGAAATACAGTCTTTTTTTTATTGGGCCTATTGCCCCCTCCAAATAAAATCAGGGTTCTGTTTGATTTTTGTTTTTGCAGAGATTGAACCCAGGGCCTTTGCCTTGAGCTACATCCCAGCTCTTTGTATTTTTGAGACAGGGTCTCATTAAATTGTCCAGCCTGGCCCCAAACTCACAATCCTCTTGCCTCAGCCTCCTGCATGGTTAAGATTACACGTGTGTACCACCACGCCTGGCTCAGGGTTCTGTTATTAAGGAAGAAAAGGAACCAACACTGGGTGGCACCCAGCATTCTGCCTCAGCTTCTAATCAACATCTCCCTCGAAGACAAGGAAATTCCAGACTCCAAGCGCCACTCCATCACCAATGGCAATGGCCCTGCCTTCTGTGCAGGAGCTCAGTGAGTAAATGCTGAGTAACTGGGCCGAGGATTTAGCTCAGTGGTTCCGCCATCTGCCTTGCAAGCACAAGGTCCCCAGTTATATCCCTAGTACAAAAATAAAAAATAAAAAATAAAAATCAGTGGTGAGTGGTTAAATGGTCTGAACTCAGCATGGTTGTTATTATTATTAATTTTGATACTGGGGATTGAACTCAGGTCTTGCACTTGCAAGGCAGGCGGCGGAAGCACTGAGCCAAATCCCTGGCCCCTCAGCGTGGTTATTATCCTTCACATTGCAGGTAAATATGTAACACACTAGGCATTTAAATAGCAGAACAATTACTAAGCTACAGAGGAATGGCCAAACCATAAATGCCCTTATTCACTCCCAAAATTAAGTTTTGAAGCTTTGTGCTAGTTTGCTGCTTAAAGTGGGATGAGCCAGGTAGAATTGTAGAATCTGAGGCTGCTTTCCAAATCTGTTGTAGAATCACCATTTTATTTATTATTTAATTACCGTACTGCGGATTGAACCCAGGGTCTTTTTGCACTGAGCTACATCCCCAAACCCATTTTGTATTTGGAGACAGGGTCTCACCAACTTCCTAAGTTGCCTAGGCTGGGCTCAAATTTGTGATCCTCCTGCTTCAGCTTCCTAGTGTTGGGATTACAAGGTAGGCACCAGCATGCATGGCTGAGTCTCCATTTTAAATATGCTAAAGTTTGCAGTACTGTTGGCGTCAGCATACTTCATCTTCCCTTAAGAAAAAAAAACTGAACAATAATGGCTGAACACGGTGGTGCATTCCTGTTATCCGAGCACTCTGGGAGGCTGAGGCAAGAGGATCACAAATTCAAGCACCACCTGGGCAAGTTTCAAAACTGAAAAGTGAGAAAAGGGCTGGGGTTGTAGGTCAATGGCAAGGGCCTAGATTCAATCCCTGATACCTCTAAAAACAGAAGGAAAAAAAGCCTAAACAATGGAAATATTTCTTTAAGTTTTAACTTGTACCTGTATTGATGTAGCGGGGTGGGCTTCTCCACCTCTTGCAGCTGATTGGAATAAAGATTTCAACCTGCAGGAGATTAAAAAGAAAACCACCAGGTGTTGGTTCCAATAGTTATTGTTAGCAGATGAAAGGGAAGGAAACATCAGACTGCAATATTTGTCCTAAGGGTTTAGTTTTTTATTTTTATTTTTTTTGGTACCGAGGATTGAACTCCGGTCCTTGCGCTTGCAAGGCAGGCCACCGAACCGCTGAGCTAAATCCCCGGCCCCCAGGGCTTAGTTATTAAAACCTATCTATTATCGCAGCATGTGCAGTGGAGACATCTGGGTTCTTCATAGTTGAACAAGCATGCACGTTCACACACGCTGATTACCCAGACCTGACACTTGGGGGAGGAGCAGAGTCCCCCCAGGTGGCCACAATACATCCCTGCTTCTGCCCACACGTTTGCCCAGTTTTCAGGAAAGCCGAGCCATTAACTCCCAGGCCCCATGACCCATAATTCCTCACGGCTCATAGTCCCTCCACCTACATAACTCCCTGAGGCGTTGGGAGAGGGTCGTCCACCAGTTCACAGTTTTTGACACAGGAATAAAAGCTGTGTGTTTTTTGGAAAGTTTCTGCATAAATGGCCAGGTGGCAGAACTTTGCAGAATTTGGTACAGCCCAAGAAAATAACTATTACTACTACTGGCAAAGGTGAGTGGATTTTTCCCCCCCTACTTTGAATGAAAATGAAAGCAATTGGGATTCTAACTAACACAGTCCTTTTGGCAGCTTTGAGCAAAACATAAATGTTTTTGAGCAGATGAAGCAGAAGTCACTGTTACTTGAAATTTCCTGGATAAAGGGAGGGTGTTGAGCTAGGTGTAGGGGTACAAGTCTGTCATCCCTACACTTGGAGGCTGAAGCAGTATGGCTGCAAGTCCTAGACAGCATAGTGAGATCCTATCTCAACCCCCCAGTTTCCCCAGAAAAAAACAGAAAAAGAGGATTGTTGTGAATGCGCCCTGATTGGTGCTGGTCATCATTACTGTCTTCTTGGCTCCACCCTTAGAGAGAAGCTGGAGCTCCAGCCTGGCCAAGATCACAGCTATGACGTGTGGTATGAGCAGCCCCCGGGCTTTTACACTCAGTCCAGGTACAGCTACAGCTATGCAGTGGCTGGAAGTGGACCTGAGCCTTTTATGTACGAGGTGGCCATGCACCCAGCTGGAACTTCAGTGACGCCCCAGGTAAGCCTTGCTGAGGTGCATCTTGTGACCCCATGCCCAGTAATGCAAACATCATTTTCCTCTCTCTCTTTACCTATCTGTGCACACTTGTTCAGATTCCCACAGCCTGTTTGGTTCTGTTTGAGATATAGGACGTACAACTCCCAACCTGCTGGATGTCAGATGTGCTGAGTTCACGTTCCCTGAAATCAATGAATTCCAAAAGACACTGGTGGTTAAGAGTAGGCCAAATTTACTAAGAGAGAGAAGGGGTCCCGGAAGTGGGTGGCCACTGAGGCCCTTTGTCAGGGGTGATTTATAGAGCAAAGTCACAGTGTGGGTACAATGTGGGTGAAACTCTCACCAACTTCTACAAGTACAAGTATAGCTTCTTAGCCAATACTGATCCAATAGGGAAGCCAGTCACGTAGCAAGCGTACATGGAAAGAACAAAGGCATTTTTGGCAAGGGATGGGTCCAAATGCTCTTGTCACCACCTGTTTGATTGGTCATCCACCTGGGTGACTGATGTCTGTCTGGACTTCACGGGACCAGGAGATATCAATCACAGAACAGACATGTAGGCCTGGTCACTGCATCTTTGTCTTGAGGCCTGGCCTCCCTCAGATGTGCCTCCAGCCACAGTATTGGTGTCTTCCTGTCTTTTGCATTGACTCTCCCAAGGGCCCACTCCTGCTTGACTGCCTATTAATTTGCATCGAATTTTAGCTGCCTATAATGTTTTAATACCAGACTTGATAGTTTTAAAAACCCTGAAAGCTTTTGCACACATTTGATGTACACATTTTATTCTATTTGGCCATATGGATAGTCTGAGACATTTTGGCTTGCAAACAGTTTAAATCCTCACTCTCTTCCAGAAACACAATAATAGGATGAAAGATTCTGGCTGAATTTTTTGCTGCTAATTTTGAATGGTACCAAGGGCCTTGCCTGTGCGAGACAAGTGTTCTTACCCCTGAGAACATCTTGGCTTCCTAAATTTTAGATTGTCATCATGAAACAGATTTTATTTTTTTAACATTTAGGACGGGAAGTGGCTTCTGGTTTTGGCCATAGCATGAACACACTTTAGAAAGCCGGGTTACTACTTTGATTACTAAAGGGAAGCCACATGAAGATGTACCGGAACAAGAGGGAAAACTCCACCACACACCCCCATTTTCCCTCGTCCCCTCCCCACAGGGAGGACAGCACCATTGGAATGGATGGAAGCCTTTTGGTGTGCCCCCCCGCCGTGTTTTTGCTATATCTGTGGTGCTGGGTTTGTTTCTATAGGGGTGGCACAGTGGGGCTTTAAGTGTGGGCTATGTGGTAAGTGCTGGCTTGTTTGCTGCTTGATTCTGCTTAGAGATTTAAGGGTCGTGTTTTAAAGACCCTAACAATTCCCCTCTGCGGGGTGGGTGTAATTCATTGTTAGACTTCCTGCTTAGTATGTGGCTCAATCCTGAGCATAGGGGAAAACCCCAACTTCTTTAGGCAGTCTGTGGTTTTTATCTCATCCCTTAACTGACATTTGAAATGTTTTAGCACTTTAATAAACTTCCTTTTACCTGTCTTCCAACATTGGCTTGGATGTTTTGGTTTTTTTGTTTTTTGCTGAGAGTACATTTCTGGATGTGGAAGAGCTAAATTGGAGGATGTAACATTCAAAATGTACTTACCAAAAGGCCTGCCCAAGTTTCTCTTGTTCTTTTGTGTATTAAACAATCTGACAGGGAGATATTGGTCTGTTGTTGAGGGGGGAAACATCTTTTAGGACACTCATTGGTGTCATGTGCCGTGGCTTGGGTGCTGATTTGTGTCTATTTTTTCCGTCCCCTTTACTGGACTGCATAAATATTCACAGGTTGAGGAAATTAGCACTCTGCAGTTGAAAGGGTGGGGCCTTTCTCTCCAGCTTCTTCCCTGGTATACCTGTGATGCTCTGTGATAACCGGGGACAGAACACCAGTGTTGAATTTAATACCTAGACCCTTGGTTTGTCAAACTTAACATTTGCTTGATAGGTTTTTCACTAAACTTCCATTTTCCATTTTTAAACTCTGTTTTAGGTGTGCCTCGTGCATAAAATCTTGTTGCCTTTTCTTCTTTCCTTTTAATTTAGCATGGGCTTTTCCCTTTTAGCAGATGTTCAAGATTGTCACTTAACCATTGCCTGAGGTCTTAGCGCAACATTCTTCCTTTCACTACTTCTTTTTTTCTCTTTCATTTAGTGGTTACAGTTACATCTTTAAATAAGGTGGTATGGGTATGAGTATATTATCAGATTCTAAAATTACAGTTTTTAAAAAATGTTTCCACTCATGAAGACATTAAAAAAAATTAACATCCTTTTTTTCTCACTCTCCTAACTCTTCTTTGAGCCAGTTTTGTTGGCACATTCTAAATTTCTAGAATTTGTGTCCCATATTCTAGTTATATTATCACCATAGCATTTATTAATTTAAGAACTAGAAATATATTCTGTGGCTGTGGCTACCGCACTGTGCTGTCTGCCTCCCATCCTGGTTAGTGTTCTTGACTGAGAAGCCAATCAGCAAAATGTGGAGGATGAGGCTCTGTGGTGGGTCTTGCACTCTGTGTCCTCATTGTGGTTTCTCTAATGAAGTGTGTCCTCTATGAGATGCCATAACTTTGCCCCCCACTGTAGTATGCCTGTCCTTAGCTATGACACCATGTCCTTGGCTTCCCAATTTAAGGGGTTAGGTCCCCAAGAGACCTCTTCCTTAATCTTTGACATTGTGATGTGCCTTAGAGGAAGTAGACGTCTTTAGAATGATTCTCAGGTCTTCGGGGTCCATCAGCACAACTTCCTTGGTCTCCCAAGCTGAGGAAGGCCATTTATACACATCTTCAAAGACGGTCTGAAGCAGACTACCCTGGTAGCTTTTGGCCAGAGAGAATGCTGTCTCCATAGTTTCTGCTTCCCCAATTTTGGCCACACAGGATGGATTCCCAGTTGCCAGAGCTCAAAGCAAAAAGGAGGAAGTAAGAGATGATTTGAATGTTGTAGTACATATAAGAAAGAGCTTCTTTAATCAGATTCTGATGGTCTTAGCCATTTCTAAGTAAAAATCAAAAAGAGATAGATGGCATAATAATAGTTATGGTAAATGCATGGCTTATTTTCCAAACCAGGACATATTTCAGAGCGAAAGGGAGGCATACTTTCAGACTGACAAAAGAGGTTGTGGGTCTTTGGCTCTCAGTATCATCTCAATCTTAGTAGCAAAGGGAGGCTTAATTAAGTTCATGGGTGCTGGGAGCGAATGCAACTTTCCTGCATGGGATGCTTTCTTGGAACAGCTGCACAGACTTAAAGAGGAGCGTCCCAGCAGGTACATAGAAAGCAGCAGCCATGAAAACAGGTGCTGTTGAGGCAGAGCCCACAGAGTCTGAGTCAATTAACCAAGGTGTGTGTTGGGGTGAATTTACTCCTCTTGTTAGGTTAAGATTGATTGCTTTGCTGTTCTGCAGGCTCTGCATTTCCTGGGTACTTACTGTCCTCTCCCTTAGCAAAGCCCTATTTGTTGAGGGCCAGGAGGAGACTTTGCAGATTGTCACCTGCAGGGAGGGCAGAGCTCTGGGGTCAAATGGGCATCTGCTATAGGAAGAAGTCTCGATGCCGGCTCTCTGTTTGCTTCCAGCCCAGGCACTAGGATGCCAGGGAGTTCTCAGCAGCTACAGAGAGGCCACTGGCCTTTGGCAGGCTTGTTCCTTCCTTGTGACAGTTTTTCTTTTGACTCAGTTCACCCATTTCACAGTTACAATGTTAGATTAAAGATTTTTCTCATCAGAACTTAGGTGAATCTGTTATAAAGGGATTTTAGCATTTTAGAGACCTAGATTTTCTTTTCCAAGAAAGCATTTATTGGTAGTAAATGTTAGTAAAGTGATTCTTTTCCTTCAGATATTGATTTTTCTCTGTAGGAAACCAAGTTGACAACCAAGTTTTCAGCTGAAGGCCAAGATGAAGACTCACTAGAAGGTAACCAAAAACATTGTGGTCCAGTGGTTGGAAACAAAACCCTGTGCCTAGGTTCCTCACTTATTCAGTGGACTTTCTAGGAACTGAGAGCCGTGTGGAACATTCCAGCATAGATTGCTGAAGCCATTCTCTTGTCATTTGTCCTGTTTTCGATGCAACCATTCCAGTGGGGTCCATGTCAGTTGAGCTATCGCTAAGGGCCTTTCTGAAGTATGGGGAAATGGGCACATTCTCAAACAGTACAAAAGATATTATGTAGTCTTGAAGGTGTGTTTTCATCTTAAGGTTAGACTATAAGATTAGCTATGGTTTCAACGCGTCCCCTAAAGTTCTTGTGTTCTAAATATCTATTTACAACCAGTGTGACTGTTGAGAGGTGGAACCCACATGGAAGTTGAACCCAAGGTCTTCGCATGGAGCTACATTCCCAGCCCTTTACTTTTTTGAGACAGGATTTTACTAAGTTGCCCAGGCTGAGCTTGAACTTGCCACCTTTCTGCCTCAGCCACCTGGAGTGCTGGCGTGTGCCACCACACCCAGCTAGGAGCTGGGACATTGAAGAGGTGACTGTGACTATGGATGGGATAGTGGAGTCCTCCTGAGCAGAGGCTGCAGCTACACAGGTGCAGGTGCTTGATAGGAGGATGAGTCCAGCCTCCCCACCCCGGCCCCCTCACTCCTACCCTTTCGTTTTCTGTTCTGGGATGAGGCAGCAGGAAGTCCCTCGCCACACACAGCCCTCCAGGCTTGGGCCTGCCCACCTCAGGAAAGCGCACCAAACACACAAACCACCCAGTCTCAGCACAAGACAGGTGAAGGCAGGATTAGTGACATTTTCCTCTGGGTGCTGGGACAGAACCTGGGGCCTTGTGCAAGCTATGCATTTGCCCTACTATTGCAGCCCGATTTATTAATTTGTTGATTGACTGATTAGTGTCCTGGGGATTGGCCCTGGGGGGTTTACAGATACTCAAGCCAGCATTCCACCCCTGAGCTCTATCATACCTCTTACTCAAGACGAGGCCTTCTCTGAGTTGCCCAGCTTGGCCTTGAACTTGTGAGCCTCCTGCCTTGGCTCCTCATTATTTAGGACTGGGGATTGACTCTAGGATCTTCACATCGAATCACATCACAGTCCTTTTAAATTTATTATTTTAAGGCAGATTTGTGCTAAGTTGCTAAGTAGTCCAGGCTGGGATCAAACTTTCACTACTCCTGCTGGAATTACAAGTGTGTACCACTACACCTAGCATTTTTTTTAAAGAGGGAAAAAAAAAAAAGAGGCTGTGGCGGTGGCTTCCTTGTTTCCCTCTGGGTTGCTGCTTCCTGGGGACCTGGCAGGGGCACTCTAGTGACAGTGTTTCCTGTAGTTCTTCACCTGTCCTGAGCAGAACAATGTTTGTCTGCCAAGGGAAAGAGCCTGGTTCTGAAAGTGTCTTGTTTGAGGAAGGAAAGAAAGTGTTTTTGCTTTCACTGTAAGTAAAGAGAAAGAAGTAGAGAAGAAATGCAGAGAATACCGCAGGTGCCTCTTTCCTGTCAGCTGTCCTTTGGTCCCTTTGTCCCCCTGAGCTGCAGTCTTCTCCCTGTGGCGGCTTCCTGGGCTTAGTGACTGTCATGATTCACACATGAGTAGGAGCTGAATGCTTAGAATTGATGTTTTGAAGAAATCTTTTGCTGTCAGGCAATTCTAGTCTTTAGTACTCTATTTGCGGATGAACCAAAGGTGCTTATTTCAGCAGGGAGCGGACTGATAGTTCCAGGAGAGGGGTGTAGAGCTCTTCTTCCTGCCTTTATCTATGCAGTGTGGGAAAGGAGGGAAGAAAAGCAAGTAAAGCTGTTTTCTGAGTCCAGACTGCCAGGGCTCAAATCTCACCAGCCCTGCAGTTCCAGACAAATTATTCTCCAGTGTGTCGGTTTCCCCTTCTGTACAGCAGGTAGGTTCATGTCTACCTCACAGGATGCGTGAGTTTGAGATCTAATGAGCTCCTAGGTCTCCTAAAGACACCAGGCAGTTGAGGCCCCTGTAAATGTTACCTAATCACGCAGCTGGAGCAGCACCTCATCCACGTGGATCATTTTCAATTTTCCTGTAGACAAGCTAGGAGGAAAACTAGAGACAGGTGAGATTAATTTTAACCTAACATGTCTGTCATGAACGAAATGTTGAGAACCACTAACGTGACCGCCCAATTCACATGTTGGCCCCTAAACCCAGGTGATACAGCAGTTTCAGGAAATGTGACTTTCACAGGCAGTGGGATGGAGGAGGCCCTGAAGATGGAGCCCACCAGAACAGGACTTGTATCCTTCCAGGATTAGGAGGGGGCTTGGTTCCTCCTCCTCTGTCCACTCTGTACCACCTGGGCCCTGTCCGGAACTGTCCGTACCAGCTTCTGACCTCCAGCATGGTGAGAAATACATCTGCTGTTGATAAGCCACCCAGACCATGGCACTTTTATAGCAGCTTGAATCAAGCGAGATGATAACAAAATATTATTCCAGCATGTGCTCTTCATACTAGGTCTTCCAAATACAGTGTACACTCCGATTTTTATTGTAAAATACACAGAAGGTTCACGGTCACCGTCCCTGCCATTTTGAAGTGTCCGGTGCAGTGACATTCATTCTTTTGTACAGCCATCGCCACCATCCCTCTCTGGAGCACTCTTCCTCTTAGAAAGCTGAAACTGCATCCATGAAGCAGGAAGTCCTTGTTCCCTCCTTTCTTGTCCTTGGCAGCCACCCTCCTCGGTCAGCACGGTGCCTACTTTGTCCTTACCTCGGGACCAGCTGTGTTCACTGGGGCCAGAGGCTGCTGTGCCAGGTGGTGAGGATTTGGGGAAAGAGGTCCCCTCATGGGTTCCTTTGGTTGCTGATTACTTCAAGCCAAGGGCACTTGGGATGCAGCAAACAAGAGAGAGGCTTCCTCTGAACTTCTGTTCTCTGCTGCAGACAGGTTATCCTGCAGTGGCTCTGTTGTCCACCCCACTGGAGTCTGATCCACCAGGGAAGATCAGCTGTGTCTCCAGAGAGGAGGCTGAAGTGGACATTGTGCCTGGTCAGGCTCTGTTCTCCCAAGGGCCACTCACTTTTTGCATCATTTTTAAATTTTGTTTTTGAGTTTGAAAGCAGGTCTTTGCTGGCCTCCAACTCACAGCAGTCCTCCCACCTCAGCCTCCCAAGTGCTGGGATCACAGGCATGTGCCACCATGGCCTGGCTCTTTCCAGTAATTAACTCTCCCTCAGGTTGCCTACACGGCCCCTTGCTTCCTCTCATGAAGAAGAGACGGTGTATAGAAGCTTCCAGAGCTCACTGGATTTCCAAGTGTTCACTTCTCTTCCATTCTGCTGTCTGTGCATGGGATACCTGTGCATACCTTTTCTCCTAATCTGGCTCCTGCTAGGTTATTTCACAGACTAAAATTCCACACTCTCAGAGTGGGGAGAGAAGGTTTTCACTCTCCACACAGCGCAGGTCCAGCTGGCCCACAGCTTTAGGGAAAATGGGCTCTGTTTCTTTCTGAGACTTGTGTTATAGCTGTGACTGGCATCAACTGGGTCACATGCTCTGGGTCTCGGAGCTGACCACACTGATGTCTCTTCACAGCCATGGGTTACACCTGTGTGTGTCTTCCTGGTACTGGCCCCTCAGAAGGAGCACGCAAACAGCTTCCCTTAAAGGAAAGGAGCTTGGGGCAGGATTTTTATTTGATTTATCTATTTTGGTCGTGGTGGTGGTGGTGGTAGTTGGAATTGAACCTATGTCCTTCCCATTGAGCTACATTCCCAGCCAGTTTTTAAAATTATTTTAAGACACTATCCTACTGAGTCACCAAGTTACCTAGGCTGAGCTCAAACTCCTGATCCTCCTGCCTCAGACTCCCAGAATGCACTGCCACACCCAAATGGGCATGACTTTGAGAAAGAAGTTCAGAGTCAGAATTAGAAATGGGGAATATGGTGAAAAGCTCTAAGAAGAAAGATTGTTCAAAAGGTTGGGCCACCCAGAGACCAAGAATCAGATAACCCAGCTCCCAAAGGCAATGTGGATACTCTCGGCTCTGAAGTGATTGATAAGAAAGGCATCGATTCTTCTGCTGGGAGCGCTGTAGCAAAGTAGCACAGCCTGGATGGCTTAACTTCCTCATGGTTCTCTAGGCTGGAAGTTCAAGATCCAGGTTCCAGCTGGTCTGGTTTCTGTCAAGAGTGCTTTTCCTGGCTTGTGGACAGCAGCACCCACATGGTGTCCTCAGCTGACCTCTCTTTTGTAGGCGCATCTTGAAAAAGAGGAAGCTGTCTGGTATCTTCATCTAAAGGCACAGATGCCATCAGACCAGGGTCCCACCCTTGTGACCTCACCGAACGAACACCCATCACCTCCACAGAACCCCACCACTGAGTGTCGTCATATTGAGAGTTGGGGCTTCAAGATGCATTTTGGAGCAGACACAAGCATTCAGTCCCTAACAAGCCCACAAAAGATCAACATGAACCCCCGAGAGTAGAAGGTAGCAATTACGGTCCTTTGTGCGTCCAGGCATGCAGAGATTACAAAGGAGAAAGGCTTCAGTTTCATTCAGTACAAGGAAGAATGGGATGGATTCTATTTAAAAAGTCAGTGACCTTGAAAACCTTGGAAACCTGGCAACTTTGGGTGAAAGCCCTGTTCTGATGCCTTGATAGCAACCCCCTCACCCCCTTGTCACCGTCCGAGCTGCAGAGACAAAGGGCAGCTCTTCCTGGTACGGGCTGATTTGCATACATCCGTCTGTTGACTAACTAGACATTCCTTCTTTTGGAGTCCTGGTCCTGGAGTCGACATCTGGCAACGCCTCCTGCCAGGAACTCGGGACATCTCCCTTCCGAGCCTTTCCCCCCGCTTGGTGTTCATCTCTACACTGCCTCTCCCGTCTCCATTTTCCTCCATCTGTTCCACCATCTAGACGCTGGTGGAGCCAGATACTACTTATTTAATCATCAAATTTATATTTCCAAGTCTTATTAAAAGGAATTTTGAAAAATGTAACCTTTCATGCCTGCCATACTCCTGCTAATGTCTGGGGTTTTTGCGGGGAGAGGTTTGGAGACCTTTTTCAGCTGTTCCCAGTATGTGCTCTCTTTTCCTCATGTCCACTCTTCTGCAGATCCAAATCTCCCTTTGAATGTCGAGGAATTAAACAAGGAATGTATGGCACGAAGTGAAGAGCTCTACGACTCCCTCATGGATTGTCACTGGCAGCCCCTGGACACGGTGCACTCCAGCATCCCAGAGCAGACCCGGAAGTGAGCAGGCTGTTGGTGAAGCTGCCCCGCTGTTCTGTTCATTGAATTTCTTTTTGGTTTGAGAGGGGAAAAAAAAGTCTTCCCAAAGGGTCCTGTATCACAGATGCCATCAGACACAGATGATGCTGTGGGCACAAACGCTCAGGATTTAATGTGATTGACGTCATGTGATAGAATATGATAAAAATAAACTTTCCCAGCACATTACTAGAAATGTGGTGTTTTAAGAATGCACAGGAGGGACCAGGGATGTAGCTCATTGGTGCTGCCCTCTGCCTTGCAAGCACAAGGTCCTGAGTTCGATCCCCAATACCAAAAAAACCCAAACAAACAAAGTGCAGGAAGCTCTCGCATGAATTCCCTGGTAGAACATACCCCGTCAGACCCTGCAAACCAAGCTTACTAGGCAGTGGTCTTGAGCTCAGCTGATTGTGGCTACTATATGTTTTGCTGGCTTCCCAGACCATTAAACTCTCCTGGAGAGAAATCATATTCACAGAGAATAGAAGGGCCTCTCTTTTTTTTTTTATTTTTAAACAAGGTTCTATTGCTTGCATTTTGTCTACAAAATGTCAATTATCTCCACTGATTGTCTGATGTTCTGTAAGAGAGCTGGGTGTAATGTTACACATCTGTAATTTCAGCACTGCAGGAGGCTGAGGCAGGAAGATCTCAAGTTTGAGCCCAGCCTGTCAAAAAAGGGCCATGAATGTAGCTCAGTATGAAGATCCCAGGTTCAACCCCTGGTGCTGCCAAAAACAAAAACAGTGACAGTGGAGATTCTCGCATCCCAGTTAAACAGAAGGATTTCCTAACAAAGCATGGAAAAAGTCTGGTTTACCAAAAGAAACTCTTGATTTTCTAAGAAGAATTAGAGATTGATAAGGATAAAAGCCGGCTCTGGAACTTCAGTGTGCATCTTGGCTATGCTCCTTATTAGATATGTTTTTTCAGAGGGGTCCTGGCGGGTGAGCACTGTGTCCTGTTTAATGGCTGTTGGGAGGGTGCCTGAGGGAGACCCAGGCCAGGGTCATGATGTATAGGCTGGGGGCATCACTTAGATGAGAGCTGAGCAGGCTTCAGGCAAAGGCGAGCACCAGACGCCAGTCCTCTCCCTGACTTCTCTAAAAGGCCGAATCTGTGCACAGAGCCTGGCGGGCTACAGGGGTGTCCAGCGTGTCCTGTGTCCCCACGTGAGGGATAGGGCTTCAGCCCCAGGCCTATGCCATCTGGGCTGTCCATTTTGTGCTGTCCTGACCATAGCACTGCAGGCCGCAGCACTCTTGCACACCCAGCTGTGAAGGCCGGACTCCAGACACTGCTGAGTGTCCCTGGCAGCAAAACTGTTCCCATGCAGAAGCGCCAGGGCAACTTGTCAGACTCCGGAGTGTGCCTGTCTCCTGGAAAGTTTGCTGGGATCCAAGATCAATTTCTGCTGAATGTTTGTCACTTCTGCCTCACTGTAACCACAAAGACCCTACATCCAACCATTATAATTAGGGGCTTTTTGCCATTTGTAACAAAAGCATCCTAACAGATACAGTAACAGTGGCAAAGAGCTTGATGTCCTGAGAACCAGAAGAGGCCCGTGTCCTGTGCCTGTAATCCCAGCTGCTTGGGAGGCTGAGGCAGGAGGATCACTAGTTCAAGGCCAAGCTGCTCACTTTAGTAAGACCTTATCTCAAAGTAGAAAGAAGTAGGTATGTGGTATTGGTAGAGCACTCGCCCAGGGTTTGTGAGGCCCCGGGTTCATCCCTGGCTTTGCAAAACTAAAATCCCCATCAGCATGTCTGGAGCTGTGCCGATGTGGAAACTTAACTGTAAAATGATGCATTGCTTCCTCTGTCTCACCAGCCACCTTGTATAGGTTTCAGAGCCACATGTGGCGAAGTGCTACCAAATTAGGAGGCACAGACTAAAGAATATTTTTGTCATGGACCAGTGCTGTACAGTAAGGCTGCTCATAGAAAAGGGGAAGAGGAGCCTGAGACGAAGGCAGGGTGATTTCTTAACCCTTATTTAGACACCTTTTTTTCTAATACATAAACAAGAGCAAGAATTTTTTCCTTCCCTTTCCTCCCTTCCAGAACCAGTTTTCACCTCCCTGGGGGCGCTGTTGTTCCTGCTGAGAATGCCTGGTCAGCCTGGCAGCCAAGAGCCTGTTCAGGCAGGGCTGTTAAACTGCCCGACACAGAATCTGATTGGTTTGAAACTACTAGGGGCCAAGTGCAGCAACGCACACCTGGAATCCAGCTGCTGAGGAGGCTGAGGCATGGGGATCACAAGTGTGAGGTCAGCCTGAACAATGTCCCAAGACCCTGACTCGGAATAAAATGCCAGGAGTTGTAGCTCAGGGCTCAAGGACTCTCAACCCCAGTGCTGGAAAACAAGGGAACACAAAAGTATTGGGGAGCAATGAAGGGATTTTTAAGGAGGAGACCTGTAAGGTCTATTCTGTGTCTTTAGAGAGTCACTTGGATGATTCTCTGTGGTGTAGCTTGGGGAGAGGCTGGAGGTTTATCCTGGGGTGATGGGGGCAGTTGAGGTGCGTTCTGGAGATGCAACAGCAGCTCTTCTTGATGGCAGTGGGGGACATAGGGTCCAGACCGCCCCGTGATCCTGGTTACCTGCATGTAGGGTGGTTCCACTGACTGACGGGACACTGAAAGAGCAGCAGGGTGAGGTTTATTGGAAGTTGGCTTATGGTGTCAGACCTGACCTGTGGCAGGAACGGCCGAGGTGCCGGCTCCACCAGTGTCCTGGATTTGGCTTCCACAGGGAGCTGCCTCAGTGCCAGTGCCAGTGCCACCCCCACCCCCTTTCTGCCCTCTCAGTCCACGTTCTAGAGATCCCTGCACTGGC